GAAGAAAAGGGAAAAAAGTAGGGCCTGGCTCAGTCAGTAAAGTACTTGTCCACTCACATACAAATAACACTAGGAAGAGAATTCCTAGTAATGCAGGAAAGACAAAAGTGATCCCAGTTTACTAAATGCTCAAAGACTGAAGAGCTTACAAAGGAAAGGTGGTTTAACAATGAGAATCTTTTCAACCAAAATGGGCATAAGGCATTTTCACAGAAAGATGAAGGTTTAGAAACACATGTGCTGGCAGCAAATGAAGGGTGGGCACCTGCCATGGTAAGCTTGTGTTTATAAAGTCAGTCAGTATGGCATGGAAGAGCCACCGTCCTCCTGACTGGGAAGCCTGCCTTCCATCTTCCTCCTTCCTCTGGGGGTGTGTGTGCTTGGTATGTGCATTGTGTTGTATGTTATGTGGCATGTATATGTGTGCAATGTAGTGTGCAGTATGGGAAGTGTATGGTTGTTGTGTAATGATTTCCTACAGGTTAAAGCATCCCATTCTGGAGGGAAAGTATTGAACACTAGGTAAGTTCTAAAGACTAAGGAAATTCTGAGGGAAGGTTGGTTAAAACCCCGGAAGTTCTAAAAGGAGGTTTGTTAAGACTCAGGAAGCAAACAACTCACAAGTCTCAGGAATTCCCTGAAACTTAGAAGATGCACCAAGTCCCTCTATCCCCAAGGCTATATAAGTAGTAAGAAATTCTAGGAGATGAGGCACTCTCCAATCTGTTGAGATACCAACAAGGTGTGCAGTGAGTCCAGGGCTGCAGATTTCATAAGCCATTACCCATCTCTGCCTCCTGGTTCACATGTCCACGTTTGCTGATGCTCTGGGCTCACACTGAGGATAGTAAGGTTGTAAAGGGGAACACTGATGGTTAGAAAAGAGTCGTGTGGCTGTCATGAGGCATATAAATGTTCAGAACATCTTTCCCTGTGTTTTCACAGGGAGCACATAATGCAAGTCCCATGGTACATCCCGAGAATCAACACCAAGTGCCACAGCTCTCTGAAAGCAGACCACCAGCTTTCAGGAAGAATCAGTCATTAGAGACTTTATAATATTAAAGAACATGCCTTATGGTAGCAGTATTTTGATTCACTTGCCATGCTGGAGATAGAACCCAGACATCACACACAGTAGGCTAGTGCTCTCCCACTAACTGAGCTATCTCCCCAGCCCAGCAACGGTGTAAATGATCTATCACTCTTCCAGCCCAAGCTATCCCTACAGCCTGCTCTGCCCTGGCACCTTCCTCCTCTAGAAGCCCCCACCAAGAGGTTCTCAGCAGAGTTCCCCAGCCTTTAGCCCATAACTGTCACCATGGGACTTGGGTTCCTATGTGACAATTTAACCCAAAGGGATGTTTCTCCACTCTTGTGCAGGGGCAAGTGTTGTATGTACACCTGTGTGTTCATGTGGCGTCCAGAGGCATTATTCCTCAAAAGCTGTCCACTTTGGGTTTTTTGAACTGATGCACTTTTGAGGGAACCACTGAGTTAAAGCTGGTCCAATCTTGCTTTTTTGAGGCAAGGTCTCTCACTGGCCTAGAACTTGCCAAGCATACCAGCCTGGGTTGCCAGGGAACCCCAGGAATCCACCTGTCCCCACTTCCCAGTGCATGGACTACTAGTGTGTGCCATCATACCCAGCTTTTTACGTGGGTGCTAAAGACTGACCTCTGGTTCTCATGCTTTCATGAAGAGTATTTTACCAACTGAGTTGTCTTCCCAGCCCTCTCCATCCTTTAGAAGTGATCTAGGGTATGATTCACAGATACATGAACAGCTTAAGGAAAATCCACATGCAAGGAATGGCGACCTTTCAAGAATGAGTACTAAAAAGTACCATAGTTAGGCTAGGTCTGATGCTACACATCTGTAATCCCAGCACTAAGGAGACTGGGGCAGGAGAATCATGAATTGAAAGTCAGCCTGAGCTATATTGGAGGGACCCTCCAAAAAAAAAAAAAATAAGTGAACATGCTATTTCTTGATTTTGTAAACAAATTGTGGTCCTGTATGATTTGAGTCAAATAACAATCAGGTTAAACTGTATTTAGTCAATCCTCAGGATCTCAGTGACGCTATCTGGTTTTCAGTGGAAGAGAGGATAAAAAGGAAATGGGAACACACTGATACCAATGTCTGTCTCCAGCTGCACATACTAGCTACCAGGCACAGCTTGGGCACTGGCTACTGGGCCCAACCCACAGGCTTCCTTACTCTCTGGCCTTGTCTTGAAATGTTGGGCTTCCTGGGGCAGCTCTGCTCCAAATTCCCAGCTAAAGGACCAGCAGGCTCTCAGCATCCAAAAATGGGAACCAGGCTCACGATGGGTCGCCAGTGTTTCCACAATTGCAACAGATTAAATCCGAATGACATTGGAGAGGCATGAGAATGACTGTCCCCTGAGGCCAGCCAGCAAGCGACCAAGTTGAAGCCTGGCAACTCAAACTAGACAGCTTCCTCTTACTGTTGGCAAAGGCCACATGGGGGCTTTCTCATACCTGGATGGACATCCATCTTTTTTTTAAGTTTAAGAGAAATTTTGTAGATTTAAGAACTTCATAGAATGAATTTTGAATATATTCAGACCTCCTCCCCCATCTCTACCCTCACCCTACCACCCCCCACCCCCACTTTGTGTCTTCTATTTACAAATGAAAAACTACTCTTACATTCAGGTGTGCCAAAATAAGGGCCCATCCCTTTTCCTTTGTATGTGGTTTGGGGTCAGAATATGCTCAGGTTTTTTGGAATGAGATTTTTACTCTTAATTTCCGTCTCTCTTACACACTGCTTAGAAATGTCAGGTGGGGATTTCTCTTACTCTCAGCAGCCAGAAACGGTTTTCTTCATCAAAGTTTTTGCAGCCCTTGCATGCAGGTTACACTTTGGCTGTTTCTGGTCGTCACTCAGGACAACAACCCCACTGTGCACCAAGGTGTTATTCAACAGGCTGATTCCCCTCAGGTGTTTCTTTGTATATATTTTTATTGAATTTTTATTTATTTCATATACAACCTCTCGGGTTGTGTAATAACTGTAGATAAAAGCAGAAGCTAGGACCTCACAGCAGGCGCAATTAGCTCACAGGCCTCCAATCGAAGAGTCTCTGAGTGGCAGTTAGGAAGTTTCGCAGGACAACTTTACACCAATATTCTCTAGTTTATCTAAAATCTGTAGACTTCTCAGATTCTTAATGTTATTGAGGACTGCAGTCAGGTCTTGACAGCCCCTGGGTGATGATGATGGTCAGCTGGCCATGGGTGCCGCCAGGGTGTGTGGGCAGGAAGTCTAGCTTGGCTTCCCCACTGGTGCAGATACCCAACATGAAACAACTTAAGGGTTTATTTTAGCTTAGAGTTTGAGAGGATATATCCACCACGGTGGGGAAGGCATGGTAGCAGGAACATGTGGCAGCTGATCACATCGCCAACCACAGTCAGGAAGCAGAAAGATGAATGCTGGTGCTCAGTTCACATTCTCCTTTTTTAATTGAGTGTGTGTGTGTGTGTGTGTGTGTGTGTGTGTGTGTGTGTGTGTGTAAGCGCACATGTAGAAGTCAGAGGAGCCTGGGGTGTTGGACCTCACCTTCTACCATGGCACAGAGTCACTTCTTGTTTTCCTGTGGTATACCCCAGGACACCTGGCCTGTGAGCCTCTGAGGATTCTCCTATCTCTGCCTCCTATCTCGCTATAGGAGCACTGGGATTAGACATGCCCCACTTTATATGATTCTAGGGATCTGAACTCAGGTCCTCATGCTTACATAGCAAGCTCTTTACCCACTAAACTATCTCCCAGTCCTCACTCTCCTCTTTTTATTCAGTCTGCATCCCCAGCCCATGGAATAGTGCTGCCCACATTCAGGATGAGGCTTCATATATGAATTAGCCCAACACAGAAACTCCCTCACAGACATGCCCAGTGGTTTGCCTCCTGAGTGGTTCTAAATTCTGTCCAGTTGACAATATTAACCATCTCTAGCACATACTGGGAGTGATTTCATCATCATGCAAATATCATAGATGTCAGCAGGCAACAGGAATTATTTTAGCTCCATTATAATCTTACAGGGAAACTGATATTCATACAGACTGTCATTGAGCAAAATGCCAATATGCAAAGAGTGACTTGTATCCTTGAAAAGTTCATTTCTTTCCAGGTTACTGCAATGCTGTTGAAAAATAAAAGGGGCTGGTAAAGGGCTGGGGAGATGGCTCAGTCAGTAAAGGGACTGCTGCACAAGCATGAGGACCTAAGTTCAAATCCCCAGAACCATGCCAAAGCCAGGCATGGAAGTGAACATCTACAACCTCAGTACTGGGCAGAGGAGGAAACACGTAGACCGCTGGGGCTCACTGGCCAGACAACCTAGCTAAATCAGTGAGTTCCAAGTTCAGTGAGAGGCCTTGTCTCAGATTAATTAATTAACTAAAAGGAGGAGGAATTGGGGGTATAACTCAGTAGTAGAGTGCTTGCCTGGCAAGCACGAGGCCCTGGGTTTGATCCTCAGCACTGTATTTTTTTTAAAAAAGGTGGAGAGTCATTGAGGAAGACAACTGACATCGACCTCTGGTCTCCACATACAAGAGCACACATGTGCATGCACACCCACACTCACACATGAATATGCACACACACACACACACACACACACACACACACACACATACACACAGAGAGAGAATAAGGGAAGCTGGGAGAATGCTTGCCTAGCAGTGGCAAGGCCATGGATTCAATCCCCAAGTTCTGAAAGAAAGGAAGGAGGGAGGAGAGTAAATGAGAGGAAAGCAACAGCCTCAATGAAAGAATAAATTCAGCACTACAAAAAGAAAATAAGTAAGGGAAGGCAGAAAGAAGGAAAAACTTCTGAGAGAGGGCACACATCTAACAAGCACCAGCTCTGACAACCACACAGACTAGCCATGCTATTTACTGACTTTCCCTTCTGCTGGCACTTGGTTTAGAAGGAGAAAGAAGGTGGTCAGAGCTTCTCAAGTATAAAGATTTATTTATTAAACCACATGGTCTGCAAACTTGATTAATAAATGTGCCTGTCAAAGTACCATTAAAATGTGAGAGACCATCATAAAATGTATCACTGTAGATCATTTTACCAAAGAAACCTCTAGAAAGGAATATCTTGCTCGCATAGATCTCTATAGTTCCCTGAAGATAAATGCTGGAGGCTAGGCATAGGTAGATAAAGCTATAAACAAATAAAAATGTCTACACAGGAGCGGAAGGATCCACACAGGGTGTGTATTATTTTTCCTGAGCAACTTTCACTTTCTGTCATAGCTTAGCACCTCTGTTATGAAATCCCTCAGCAGAGAGGAAAAGCAACAGCTCCCCCATTGCAGACAGACCCAGCACCTGTCAGGTCCCTCCAGATTCACACCAAAAAGTTCTGGAAAATGTCAGCTGCCTCCACCCAGTTCTGGAAGCAGGCCAGCCCATGCTCCCGGATCTGCTTCCGCCCTTTGTTGGTGATGACATCTCCATTCTGCTTGATGATCACGAGTTTGGGGATGGCCGTGATGTCATACCTCTTCTTCAATTCGCTGCAGGAGGAAAGAGGCCAGAGTGTTAGCACTGCCCATGTCTGAAACTTGGAAGGGGTGACTGGCTGAAGGTCTACAGCCAGGCCACGACACACTCACAGCCAGGCCATGTGCAGAGTGGTGGTTCCTCCCTCTGCTGCTTACTGCTGCAGCTTTGAGGCCAGTCCTGTCCTAGACAATGGTCATCAACAAAGGGATCGAGCAGAGCTGCCCACCACCATGACCACCAAACATATGCCCAAAGATTCCCAGCTAGGGAAGTGGCTAAATCTATAAAGTGCTTGCTTTGCCAGCATGAGGCACTGAGTTCAACCCCCAGAACCCATGTAAAAAGCCATGTGTGATGAGGAGCACTTATAATACCGGCACTGAGGAGGCAGAGACAAGCAGATCTCCAGGGCTCACTGGCAAGCCAGCCAGGCGTAACCATCAAGCTCCAGGCCAGAGAGAGACCCTGTCTCAAAAAACAGGGTGGATGGCTCCTGAGGAACAGCACGAAGTTGACATCTGGCCTCCACACACAAGCACAGTAGGGTAATTGAACCAAGACTGGCCTGGCACAGCGAGAAGATTCAAATCATACTCAGAGAGCAGAAGTTTTCTTTTATTACTCATGGGCCTTAGTCTGAGCTCCTGCTCTAGAGAAACTGAGGCACTGACCAGAAATACATACAAGTTTTTATAGGATTTTTCACATCATCCTTTGGCAATAATTACATTGATGGATGTGAAACTTTAGCACAGATGTGTACAGTCCCTTTAGGCTATTATAGGAAATTTAAATGGTCAAAAGCAGATATTTTGAGGAAGAAAGGGTAAGGGTTGTGACATTCCCAGTAACGTGATATACTGTTGATGCCAGGAGAGTCTCAGCCATTTTAATAAGCATGACACACTGTAAGCAGCTGTTTCCTTAAGATCTCTGCAAAAGACAGTGTTTTTCAAACCACAGGCTGTGTTTTTTGTGGTTGTCTGCCTTGTCCTGTCTCAGCCTGGGACTGAGTTCAGAGTCGAAGATTTTCCTTTATGATTTGAGTACAAATAGAAGCTTCCAAAGTCCTGTTACTTCTACATATATCAGCAAGCACACTTACTATTAGGCTTACTGGTGGGAGCACACAGGGTTCTTATCAAATACATTTGTTAGTTCTTAATCATCAACACACAGAACAGAGTTATACTGAGGTCACAGTTCATTAGTTCCGCATTAGGTTAATTTTTCCATATCACACATACTCACAAAGCTGGTCAGTGTAACTGAATCTTCCATTTTAACTATTAATTCAAGCTACTGCCCTACCACTGAACTACATGCCATGGCTGCTATTTTGGTGTTATTGTTGCTGTCCCTGCATTTTGAGATAGGATTGGGGTAACTGAAGTGGAAAGAACCCTTAACAGTGGGTGGCACTATCCCATGGGCTGGAGACCTGGGCTGCATAAAAAGGAGAAAGTGAGCTTAGCACCAGCACTCCTCTCTGATTCCTGACTCATGCTCCCACCACGACACCTTCCCTACCATGACAGACTGTACCTTCAAACTGTGAGCCAAAAATAAAACCTTTCCCCACTTCAGTTTCTTTTTTGGGGGGAGGTAGGAGTGTACCTGTGCATGCATGCTGAGGCCAGAGGCCAGAGGCCAGAGGGGAACATCGGGGGTCTTTCTCTATTGAGCTCCACCTTATTTCCTTGAGAAACTGAAGCTGGCTGTTTCAGCTAGGCTGGCTGGCCAGTGAGCGCCCAGGATCTGCCTGTCTCCACCCCCCAAATGCTGGGGTTACAGGCACACACAGCCATATCTGTCTTTTCGAACTTGGGTCTTCATGCTTCCACACCAAGTTCTCTTATCCACTGAGCCATCTCCCCAGTCTCAAGTTGCATTTGTTAGGTATTTTTGTCACAGCAACAGGAAAGGTAGTGAATACAGAGATCTTTCACAAACTGGGTCAACTTCTACCATCCTCCATGCATCTCTTTACTCAGCCATAAAACTACTTCCCCATGGGCAATCCCAGAGCCCTGTTCTCCCTGGGGCCTGAGCTCTCTGCCCAATTATAACACCATCACCATCTCACCAGCAAAATAAATGTATCCTTTCAAAAGCTGTATATAAATGCAAGTCAAACCGTATTTCAAAGCACAGCACTTGAAGTGATTCTCAAGTGAGTCCTTGTGCAAAGTTAATCAACTGTCATATAAACTTAATATCAATGAGACTTTTGTGGTCTCTGCAGGAGTGAGGCCTCACATCTCCCCAAAGCTAAGCAACTTCCCCTGGTCCTCCACCTCCCTGGGAATCACCAAACAGCTTGTGTTTAGGAAAACAGAAGCTAGGGAGATGGCTCAGTCAGTAAAGCTCTTTGATTTGCAAGCATGAGGACATAAGTTCAAATCTAAGAACCACATATAAAGATGGAACACTTGTAGTCCCAGGACTGGAGAGGAAGAGACAGGTAAATCTCTCATCATGCCCCCCTCCTCTTTCCTTGCTCCTCTCCTGGAGCCCTTGTCCCCAGTCAAAGGAGGCCCTGAGTTGAACTCCAGCCTCAGATTCAGACTTGTAGCACAGAGCCCCTCCAAAATCACTCTGGAAAGTCTTGCCTCTGCTAACATCTGTCAGTCCCCGGTTCCACCTACGTGTATAGAGATAGGATTCATTGTAATGAATTTTAGCATTATAGTTACGAAAGTCCAGGGAAAAATGAAATCATCAAGACGACTAGCTCTTGGTGAGTTCCCCCCTCCCGCCCCCGCC